CCCAGCTGGAAAATAATAACTCCTGACCCCATGTTTTCTGACTGCACCTACATTGTATGTCAAGTACTAGTAGCTAAGTACAGTGAGTAGTAGGTCAACCGACGGACATGCACGTCCTACAACTACATGAAAAGTCTGAAAAGTCATGTATAGTAGATACTGGTGTTTGCGACAATCGATCCTACACTACGTCTACAGCAGGGAGTCGTAAGATACCGGTATTTTACGACTCCATGGTCTACAGTACACTACACAGTCAGTGCAACAAGTGTATGAAAGTCCCGGCCTGGAGCAAAAAAAAAGTACGAAAAATCAAAAAAATTAATTCCGCCAGCACTCTTGACCACCCACCCCCATTTGCCTGAGGACGGATTTTTTAATTTTTCGAAAAATACGGACGACTCCTTACCTGTTCATTGGTTGATGGAAAGATGCAAACGGGAAAACGTCTGAAGAAAAAATTGACTGGCGCCACCAGGACTCGAGCCAGGGGCCTTCACTTGAGGGCAGCGGTGCTCTAACCCTTCTGTTGCAAACCACCAAACCACCAGTTCTGAAGTGGGAAAGGCCTTCGCGCTTATGGCATTGTATTCATTGCAATGTTGTATTGCGACTCGGCCGTAGCGCTGATGTTGCTGCATGGCATACGCTATATGCGCTGTGTTCAGTTTACAGTATACGCTGTAATGTCATGTTTTATATGTGTATGTTTTTCATACACATCTACACTGTTTTGCATGCTATAAATACCTGCTGTTGTTATTACTGTTCATTATTGTTATAGTCCATCGAACTGAAATATACTGTCAAGAATAAAATAGTTGTCCTCGTGCCGTGTGGTCGTTCGTTCCTGACACTTTAGAGAACCAGAGGTTTCACAACACCTTCTTTGCCGTTGAGGTTCAGTGTAAAAACGTGTGACTAACTCTACTGTTTACAATGCGTGTGTGTGTGTGTGTGTGTGTGTGTGTGTGTGTGTGTGTGTCTGTGTGTGTGTGTGTGTGTGTGCGTGTGCGTGTGCGTGTGCGTGTGCGTGTGCGTGTGCGTGCGTGCGTGCGTGCGTGCGTGCGTGCGTGCGTGTGTGTGTCTGTGTGTGAGTGTGTGTGTGTGTGTGTGTGTGTGTGTGTGAGTGTGTGTGTGTGTGTGTGTGTGTGTGTGTGTGTGTGTGTGTGTGCGTGTGTGCGTGTGTTTGTTGTGCACTGCAGGTTTTCTGGCTGATTCCTCCGACCCCAATCAATCTTCAGATCTATGAGCAGTGGGTGTTGTCCGGTAAACAGCAGGATATATTCCTGGATGACATGGGCGAGACGTGTGCCCGCGTCGAATTGAAACCAGGCTGGACTTTTGTCATTCCTACTGGTGAGTGAGTGTGTGTAAGTGTGTGTATGTAAGTGCCAGCTAGTTCGGTTGGTGGGTGCACTTATGCCTGATTGTGTTGGGTCTGTTGCCAACGGGCTCGGCTGCTTGAAGGTGTAATGTGTGTGTGTGTGTGTGCATGTATCACGGCTGTTCCAGCACAGCCACTTATAAATATGGCGTCGTTCGGTGCGATTTATGTAACATTGTACGAATCGTGCAAATACGGGATGAGTTTGCGTTTTTGGAAGAAACTCATGTCGCTCCTCGCATGGTTTCACGATTTGGGAAGCGAATCCAAGAGAAATGTTTTGAAAGCGCTCGAGCGAGATACTCGACTTTCGGGTAATTTGAGAGAGAAGAAGGGTGGAAAGGCGTCCTGGCCTGCCCAGTTAGCTGTCTTTCCGCTTCAAACTTGCTCAAAACTACTCCTGGTAGTCCAGAGATCGACCGCCCCTGTGATTATCGGCCTCTGCTTGGCGTGCGCGCGTGTACAATATTCAAACTGGACATTTCGTACTCGTTCAACGCACAATAGGAGAGATATCACAATTTCCAGCTCACTTGGCCGGCTGCTGTCTTCTTCTACAATATCCCACATGCCAACTAAGCAATTTACAGCAGGAAGCAGCCTTCTAGACTCAACAGCAACAAAAGGGCCACGCCATTTGTCTTCCGAATCAAGAGAAAACAGGTTCCTGACCCGCCTCGCGAACTCAGAAGTTCATGCGCGAACAACAACGACACTCAGGGAAGACAACCAGAGGATAGTCCTCTACCTGGGAAAATTGCCATCTAGCCTGGGAAAAATCAAGGAAGGGCTTCTCGGGGCTGAGTTTGACAGCGACGACACAAGGAGTACTTCAGAGTGAAGCGAAAGTTGCACGACGCAGAACAAATGTTTCTTGAAGGAAAGGCAGGCATGTGAGGTACGAGC